GGGTTTAGGGTTCAGGATTCAGGGTTCAGGGTTTAGGGTTTAGGGTTCAGGGTTCAGGGTTTAGGGTTTAGCCCTAAGCCCTAAACCCTAAACCCTAAACCCTAAACTTTAAACCCTGCCCAAAACCCTAAACCCTAAACCCTAAACCCTAAACCCTAAACCCTAAACCCTAAACCCTAAACCCTAAACCCTAAACCCTAAACCCTAAACCCTAAACCCTAAACCCTAAACCCTATAACCCTAAACCCTAAACCCTAAACCCTGCCCATCTCAGGTTTCCCAGCTTTTGCGTCCTCCTTCCGGCAAGCGTGGAGGAGATACGTGTCATAGGCAGGAGTTTGGGTAGAACGTCTGTCCTTCTCGGAGTCTCTAAACCCTCAGGCTTAACTGCCCTGGTTAGGGTTTAGGGTTTAGGGTTTAGGGTTTAGGGTTTAGGATTTCGGATTTAGGGTTTAGGGTTTAGGGTTTAGGTTATATTTAGGATTATAGGTTTAGTGTTTAGGGTTTTTGGGCTTGGGTGGCGGGTTAGGAGCCCTGCACTAGTTTCTTTGGGACTAAGGTACCCCTGGAAATGGGATCGATACCCCATCCGACTCGTAATCACCCTAAACCCGAAACCCTAAACGCTAAACTCTTTGAGGGCTCGGCTCGTCCCCCCCCACCCCCAACCCCCAACCCCAAACCCCAAACCCCAAAACCCTCAACCCCAAACCCTAACCCTAAACCCCAAACCCTAAACCCTAAACCCCAAACCCTAAACCCTAAACCCTAGTGTGATGCCAGCTGCAGGTGCGCTGCACGGGCAGATCGAAGTCGACGCAGCCTTCGCGCTCCTTTCCCACTGTATGGAGGACTTTCTAACGCTTGGGTCACGATATGAACCCCCAAAATTGGGGGCCATATACCCTACACTATCATGGGTTTAGGGTTTAGGGTTTAGGGTTTAGGTAGGGTTTAGGGTTTAGGGGTTAGGGTTTAGGGTGACTTTGTAACCTTGGGGACGATATGAACCCCAAAATTGGGGGCCATATACCCTAGACTATCATCTAGGATGCCCAGTAGTACCCTTATTCCCTTTTTGGGGGGGGTTTAGGTTCCCTTATAAACCCCTTTAAGCAAAAAAGGGCACCCTTTTTAAGCCTTGGTTACTGGGCAGCCTAGTCATAGTTCCTATTAATGTATATAACCATGAACCCTAGAATAAGGTTCATGTGGTCCCCAAGGCTATCGTAAAGGGGATGGCTTAGAGGTCATTTGGGGCTGATGTTGCGTCTTCGACGAGAGCGCCTGACCCTGCATCATAAAGGGGAGGGCTTTTGGGGTTTATGGAGTTTGGGGCTGAAGTCGTGTTTTATGCGGGAGCGCCTGAAGACAGAGACAGGGTCCGTGGGTTCAGTTTTTGCGGCTTGCGGTGCTGCCAAGATTGGAACAAGTCCACAGAACATTGCGGGCAGGAGATGGCGAGCCATCGCGCCGAAATTGTTGCCCAACAGGCCACGCCTTTTCTCGGCTTAGGGTTTAGGGTTTAGGGTTTATAATGCTAGTATGGTTTATCGTTTAAAGAGTTTGGGGTTAGGGTTTATAGGGTTTAGGGCATGTGCACTGCGGGTTTAAGACCCAAGGCCCTGAACCTTCAATCCAAAGACTCCCTTTGAATCGTGCGATACCGCTTCACGCCTGAATCCTAAGCCATCGAACCTTAGTAAGCCTTAAGCCTCGACTGCCCCAAGCCATAACCCTAAGGGTCCATGTACCTTATTATTATATACTTAGACCCAAAAGTCCTTATATAGGAAGTACTTTAAGGCCCAAGTATTCCATAATTAGGTACATGGACCCTTAGGGTAAGCTTCCAAAGCTAAACGCTCGACTTTGGGGGTTTAGGAGTTTAGGGTTTCTAGAGTATACGGGGTTTGTAGGTGGTAAAGGGTTGATATATAGGTTTGCTTACACTGTTTATAGGGTTTATAGGGTCTATAGTGCTTAGGGCTTTTAGGGCTATCATCCAGGGGGTAACTATCGGGTTTGTAGGGTTTAGGGTTTTGGGTTTAGGGTTTGGGGTTTAGGGTTTAGGGTTTAGGGTACAACCTGAAAGGTGCAGCACGCGGAAGATCGAAGCTTACGCGAGCAGCAGGACCGAGACTTGGCTCAAGTAGCTCCCAGGACCGACATGGTTTAGGGGTTTAGGGTTCAGGGTTCAGGGTTTAGGGTTTGGGGTTCAGGGTTCAGGGTTTAGGGCGTAGGGTTTAGGGTTTAGGGATACTTGCGAATACGTTTTAATTTTTCGGGCACCTAAGAGACAGCAAAACATACAGTTTTTGCTAGGGTTCCAAGCTCTGTGTAGCACTGGGTAGTGCAACCCAAAAGCTGATCTTCAAGAAGGTCCTTTAGATCATCAAGTTTTGGTTGCCGCTCCTTCCCCCAATTGTGGGGGTTCATCAGGTTAACGGTTTAAGGGATTATAGGGCATGATAGGTATAGTGATTGGGTTTAGAGGGTTTTGGGGCTTGTCGGGTTTCAGGGATTTCGAGACTCTATCGGGCTTTAGAGGGCTTTACAGGGTTTGCAGGGTCTAGAAACCCAACCCCCCCCCCCCCCCCCCCAAAATGTCGGGGTGTGAACAGGTGGAAAGGGTTTAGGGTTTAGGGTTTGGGGTTTAGGCTTTAGGGTTTGGGGTTTAGGGGTTTAGGGGTTTGGGGTTTAGGGTTTGGGGTTCAGGGTTTGGGGTTTAGGGTTTAGGGTTTAGGGTTTGGGGTTTGGGGTTTGGGGTTTAGGGTTGAGGGTAGTAGAGCTCTCCAGGGAGACTATCGACTCCAGTGCTTATCCCGATTATGCATCAGGAAGGACCCTGCCTGAGGATTTAGGGTTTAGGGTTTAGGGTTTAGGGTTTAGGGTTTAGGGTTGCAGAGCGTTGTTGATGCACACCTCTCTATCGTTAAAAACAGGCAAGTTGTAGTCTTAAAGCTTTGACTTTGAGCGCCCTGAAATCACTCAAATCCCTTAAGCCCTTACGACCCTTAGAACCCTCACATGGGGTTTTCCGAAATTCAATGGGTACCTTCTTGGGGTCCACATTCTAAGGGGATCCTACTTTTTGGGGGGTGTACTTACCCTAAACCCTAAGCCCTAAGCCCTCAGCCCTAAACCCTAAACCCTAAACCCTAAGAAAAAACCAAGATAAAAACTGAAGACGCTGAAAGCCCTTGCAAAAGCCCAGGTGAATACCAGGAGGCTTTGGAGATGGACAGCAGCTCGCAAAGCCATCGGTTGAGGGTTTAGGTTTAGGGTTTAAGGTTTAGGGTTTAGGGTTTAGGGTTTAAGGTAAGCGGGCCTTTGTTGCGCGCGCTACCTTGGGGATCAAATGAACCCGAAATTTGGGACCATATACCCTGGACTACTATATTTCCGACGAAGGTGTAGGAACCAGAAGCGCTTTTAGGGTTCATTGCGTCCCCAAGGTAAACTTTCTAAAACCTAAGCAGAAACTAAGCAGACCTTTAGGTGGAGACCAGCAGGTTAGGAGAGGCCTTTCAAGTGACCTATTCGCCAGCCCTGTCTACAGCCAAGTCATTCCGAAGAAAACTCCAATCCATCCACGATGCCCGTGAACTTTCCGAAGTCCTTCCTTAAGCCCCTTAAGCCCCATATGAGAGTTTCCGACATTCGTGGTACCTTATTGGGGTCCTTATTAGAAGGGAATCATACTATTTGGGGGTATGCATTAAGGGCCCCCCTTATTGCTCGTAAGCCCCCATACCCCAAAACTCTTAGCAAGCCCCTAAACCCTAAACCCTAAACCCTAAACTCTAAATGGCCTCCCAGCGGGGCAGAGCTTTGCGCCAAGGGCGGCGTGCAGAGGAGCGGGAAGCTGCACGCCGAGAGGAAGAGGAAACACGGAAGCAGGCCAATCACTTTGGGGGTTTAGGGTTTAGGGTTTAGGGTTTAGGGTGTGGGGTTTAGGGTTTAGGGTTTAGGGGTACCTTGTTTGGGTCCTTATTTGAAGGGAATCCTACTTATTGGGGCCCCTAATTATCGTAAGGATGCCGCACGCAAGTTTTCCCGCCTGAACCCGCGAAGGGGGCCGGAAATTCGAAAAGAGATTGCAGATTGAAGGGACCGAAGGATATTCAGACTACATAGGTCCGTGCACTTCGGTAGCTTAGGCTTAGCGGCATATGTGTGTTGGCATGAAGATTCCCACCCCCCTCCCCCTATCCCTCCCCGCCGTCCCCACATAGTCCAGGCGTTTTTGCGAGTATGTTATTATGAAGTGTCACTTTTCCCCTTGTTAGCGTCCAAGTGTCCTCGACACAACACACATGTAGATCGACCATGCTCTCCGCGCCGGCGCCGCAGAGCCTGACAACGCACGGCGCGCCCCTACTGCAAGTAGGACGATGGCGGCAGACGCAAGGCGGCCAGGGGACGATGCGGCGCGTCCGCGGATGCCATGGGAAAGCGCGATGCCCACAGCTACCTCTGGCGCAGCTTCCCCTGGCGAAGCTTCGAAGCCGCTGCCCTGGGAGGCTGCAGCTTCTTCGGCCCCTCCTCCCGAACCCGGACAGCCTGAGGGGAAATCGGAAACTCAGAAGATGCCCTGGGAGACAGAGGCTTCGCCCAGTGGTACCCTTTTCCTGTTTTTTTGGTTCCCTTATAAAGTAACCATCCCCAAGAAGGCCTTATTAGAATATGGTTATACTCGACTACCAAGGAGGGACCTCCTCCCAAAGCCGCGGATGTTGCCCCGGCGCCTGCGAGGCAGCGAATGCCCTGGGAGACTGAGTCTGGCCTGGCAAAAGCTTCGCCCGCGCCCATAGAGGCGCCGAAGCCACGGATGCCTTGGGAGACCTGCCCGAGTCGTACCGTTGTCTTGCTTTCCTTCTTATGCCGTTCTGTGAGCCGTATATTCCTGTAGGTATAGTACACCTTATGCGGTTTTATGTGTGTATTCTATATGTATATATGCTATGATTTCGAAGGAAACTTAAGACCAATGAAGCATGTTCAGTGCCCACGGGCTGTGGGAAGCTGAGGAGACAGAGGCTGGCGTGGCCAAAGCAGCAGTGGCTCCAGTTGCCTCGGCCGAGGCGACAAGGCAGCGGATGCCTTGGGAGGTCCCCTTGGGGACTAAATGAGCCCTAAAATTGTAGGGTTTAGGGTTTAGGGTTGGGGTTTAGGGGTTAGGGTTTAGCGGTTCTGGCTTGAGGGTTCAGGGTTAGGGCAAGTGGGACCATAAACCCTATACTTCTATAGTTCAGCCGAACCCTAAACGGGTTTATAATTCATATCCCTTAAAATAGGAAACTATACTTTCCCATGAAGTACGTGGACCCTAAGCTTAGGCCCTATAAACCCTTTTGGGGCTTCAGGTAGTCCCCCCAAAGGTCGAGCCCGGTGTGGCGAAGGCATCGGCCACTCCAGCCCCGATCACCGCGGCGAAGCAGCGGATGCCCTGGGAAGTGGAGCCCGGGGTGGCGAAAAGCTCCCCCGCCGTGGCCGCAGCTTGGGGGACGAAGTTGGGCCCTAAACTACTATTTGCTTATAAGAACCCCAAAGGAATATTTACAAAAGTCCCCATATTGTTGTGGGGGTTCTTAAGCAAATAGTAGTAAAAGGGCTGATGGTTCCTATACTATGCCTCAATATGAATTACAGTCCTCCAGGGTATCCTTGGCCTAGAAGGGATTGTGGCTCCTTTACCTTATCATGGGGATTCGTGGCAACGCCGGGTAGAGGGTTCCAAGTTCCGGGTTCTTGTGGTCCCCCAGGCACCTGGACCTGCAAAGCAGCGCATGCCCTGGGAGACCGAGCCGGGAGTTGCCAAGGCCAACGCGCAGACGGCCAAAGCCGAACCGGCCCGCCAGCGCATGCCCTGGGAGACTGAGTCCCTTAAGAGGAAGCAGTGAAACCCAAAAGGCTTTAGGGCTCCTATATACCTTTTATAGGAATGCTAGTAGTCCAGGGTATATGGTTTCAATTTCAGGGTTCGTTTGGTCCCCGCGGCAAGGTCTGGGGTGGCCAAGACTGCTGGAGCTCCGCCGAAGGCGGGGCAGGCCAGACAGCGCATGCCCTGGGAAGCGAAACCGCAAGCGTCAGCACAAGCAGCGGGCGCCAGCACGACGACATCCTCGGCGCCCACCCCCCAAGGGCTTTCGGGCAAGTGGGTGCTGCTGCCAGACCCGCAGGCCGCGGACGACCTCCTGGCCACGGGGAAGGCAATCGACAGCCGGCCTGTGAATGGCCTGCCAGGCTCTGCACCGGCAGGCAAAGCCGGAGGAGCCGGAGCTGGCACTTTTGTGCGGCAGGCACAGGGAAAGGCCAGCAGTGACGCAAAAGTGCTGAGGTTCGAGGACTTGGACTGGGATGGATCTGGGTCCATCAGCAAGGAAGATCTGATGAACGTGCTGATCGCCTTCCAGACTCAGCAGGTTACAATCGAGATGCCCAACGTGCAGATGGAAGCTGCAAAAGCCAAGGCGCGAGGAGCGCAAGTGTGGGGGGAAGGTGCCGGTGCAACCGTGCTGAGCAAAGGGAAAGCCAAGTCCAAAGGCAAAGGCAAGGGCAAGGCCATCAAAGGCAAGGGCAAAGGCCCCCCACCGCCAGCTCCAAAACCGGCGGCTCCTCAAGCAACTTCTGAGGAGCAGCCTCCTCAACCGAAGCCTTCTTTAATCTACGGGACCTGCGTTCACTGCAACAGGGCTCTCACTGACGATTCCACTTTCTGTCGACACTGCGGCATGCGCCGGGTTGAATCGGCCTTAGACTGGGACGCGGATGTTATCAAGACGCAAGGACAGGGTGCGGAAGTGTCAAACTTGGTAGTACACTTTACCCTTTTTTTCGTTCTGGGATCCATTATAAAGTAACCACCCCCCAAGAAAGGGTGCCCTTATTAGAATATGGTTACTGAGCTACCAAGCTAAGCAGCAAGTATATCCTTGGGGACCAAATGAACCCTGAAATTGGGACCATTTTCCCTGTAATTCCTATTGAGGTATAGGAACCATAAACCCTTCTAGGGTTCATTTGGCCCCCAAGGATGTGTGCATATGAGCCATGTGTCGAAAGAGACACACAGTTCCACGATTACGCATGGCCCTATAACCCAAAACCCCAAACCCTAAACCCTTAACCCTAAACCCTTAACCCTAAACCCCAAACCCTGAACCCTAAACCCTAAACCCTAAACCCTAAACCCTAAACCCTACACATGGCAGCCCCAGGATCCGAAGCTCCTGCTGCCGCAGACGTCCCAACCCCGCCTGTACCTTGGGGACGAAGTCGAACCCCAAAAGGGTTTATGGTTCCGATACCACCCTAAACCCTAAACCCTAAACCCTAAACACTAAACCCTAAACCCTAAGCCTTAATGGGAATTCTATAGTAGTCCAGGGTATAACGGGACTACAAGGGTTTATGGTTCCTAAACGCCAGTCGGAATTCTTGTAGTCCGGGGCAGAATTTTACTGAAAGGGTTTATGGCTCCTATACCTTCATAGGGACTAATCGTAGTATAGGGTAGAGGGTCCTAGTTTTTTTGGTTCATTTGTTCCTACACCTTAATAGGGACTTATGGTGGTACAGTATAGGGTTTAGGGTCCCTAAACCCTAAACCCTAAACCCAATTTTAGGGTCCATTTGGCCCCCAAGGTAAGTTTGCCGCCTCCGCCCTTGCCTCCTGCTCCTTCCTCAGGAGGCCGTGGGACGGGTTCGGGTGGATGTAGGCCTGACATCGCTAGGGGTTTAGGGTTTAGGGTTTAGGGTTTAGGGTTTAGGGTTTAGGGTTTAGGGTTTAGGGTTCAGCAGCTCATGTACTAGCTTTCACTAGTCGAGCTTTTTCATCATGTTTTGGAGAAAAAGCCCACCCACCCAGAGAATCCCAGGGTTTAGGGTCTGGGGTTTAGGGTTCAGTTTCAGGGGGATCCCCACAGACTACACGAGCCAAATACGTCCCCGCCCTAATTTTCCTCATCATCCCTTGGATCGAGTGGTGTGTGTTGCCCGAAATAGGGGTACCCTGTTTATACCCGAAGTAGTATAGACTCCCCTTAACGAACACATCTTTAAGTACATTTCTGTAATTGTCGGTTTTAAGTCTCCAAGATGCCACACAGAGCTTCCGTCTGCAGAGCCTCCGCATGACTTGAATAGACGCCCAAGATCCTTCAAAGAGGAGTTACCCTAAGGACCAAGAGAACCCTAAAATTGGGACCATATACCCTATACTAATCTCATTCCGATTCAGGTATACGAACCATAAACCCTTTTGGGGTTCATCTGGTCCCCAAGGTCTAGGGCACTAGATGGCCAGAATAGAGTGTAAACGCAAAAACCCGCAGCCCTAAACCCTAGAAGCCCTAAACCCTAAACCCTCAAAACCCAAACCCTAAACTCTCGGGCAGGGGGTCCAGCGGTGCACCGGCCGCCGCCGCCCAAGGCGCCCTCCAAGGCGGCGCATGTGCCGAAAGATGCTTGGACAGAACATGAGCCCTACCTTGGGGACTCCATGGGTTTAGGGTTTAGGGTTTAGGGTTTAGGGTTAGGGTTTAGGGTTTTCTACCTTGGGGACTACGCGAACCCTAAAATGGCTTTATGGTTCCTATACCTTAAGAGGAAGTATAGTAGTCCAGGGTTTATTTGGCCCAAAAGGGTTTATGGTCCTGTACCTTAGTAGGGATTATTGTAGCGTTGGGTATATGGTCCCAGTTTTCGGGTTCATTTGGTCCCGAAGGTATACTTCCGGAGCCTTATTATTGTGTTCCGGCTTCTGGCAACATAACAGTGAGGTCAGCGTGCATGAGAACTTTCCTGTTGAGGAGCGTAGCCAGTTTTCGGTTTCGCGCTTTGTTTATGGCTTAAGGACTTGTAGGGGTCGACAGTTTAGGGGTATGGCTGGTATGGTCATGACTATGACGGTCTGTTCGTGCAGATGCTTGCAGGAATGATTTCTGAAAGGGTGCAGCTGCGTCAACGCCTAACAAGAAGACCTACACCTTGGGGTGACCAAATGAACCCAAGAATTGGGACCGTGTACCCTGGACTACTATATTTTCCTATTAAGGTATAGGAACCATCAGCCCGTTTAGGGGTTCAGTGCGTCCCCAAGGTAAGCGTAGAAGTGCCCTATACGAAGTGAGGATCCTCCGCCACCGCCGCTGCCCAAGCCGCCGGCAGCTCTACTGCCCCCCGAACCCAAGGAGGAGATTAAGGCCCATCTTGGTGGTTTCCGAAATATTGGGATTTACGAAAAGAGGGTTTGGGGCTTATAAGGTACCTTCTTGGGGGGCCCCTTTTAATAAGGGAATCCCACTTGTGGGGGTCTGTTTTAGGGATCCCCTATTTAAGCCACTGCGCCCGATCTCAAGCGTAGCTCACACTCCAAAAAAAACCTATGACTAAATTCTGCGCACCCTGAAGAATGTGGGGCCTCTATTCAGGGGCCGAAGATGGCGCCCTAAACGCTAAACCCCAAACCCTAAACCCTAAACCCCAAACCCCAAACCCCAAACCCTAAACCCTAAACCCTAAACCCACACAGGTGCCCTGGCGCATGGACCAGACGGCCAAGCTCGGTGCGAAGATGAAAGCCTGGGCCAAGGGGAAGCCCAAAGCGAAGCCGAAAGTCGAAGCAAAGGCCGCACCCGAGGTGGCGCCTCCGAAGCCTCTGAACCTAGGCTCTAAGGCCCTTATAGTTCTTTCTATGTACAACGGTCCCTTCTTGGGGGGGTTATAAAGAGGGCCATAGTTTTAGGAATATTTTCCCTTGTTGGGGCTTTAAGAGGATCATAGTTTTGGGAATACATTTTTTCAGAGGGCTTTATGAGGGGACACCCTACACCCTAAACCCTAACCCCTAACGCCTAAACCCTAAACCCTAAACCCCAAACCCTACAAACACAAAACCCTAAGAATCCTAAAACACCCTAAACCCTAAAAGACATCCCAGGAACCTTCCACTGGTTGGGCCCGGGGATGTCGACCTGGGGATGGAGATCTCGAGGCCCGGAGGGCCTCGGCAACAGAGGGCTAGGGGTTTAGGGTTTAGGGTTTAGGGTTTGGGTTTGGGGTTTAGGGTTTAGGGTTACTGAGTAGTACTGGGGTCGCTTACATTGTAAAGGTTCGAAAGGGGGACTCTGCGGGGACGATGTTCAAAGATAATTTAGAATTCGCAATTTCGAGGTTCGGTGTTAGGCATCTAGTCGTTGGATGTGAGTTGTACATTTGAGCTATGGGGTTGAACCCCCAAGCCCCTACAACGAAACCAGGATAGGCTAGTATAACTTGCGCTTCCCAAACACGACCCTTTGCAGGTTTCTCACAGGGTTCATTTGTAGTACTTTTAGGCCGTTTGGTACCACAAACCAGTACCTCATGATTGTGGAAGGCTTCAACCGCTTGGTCTTTGTGGTACTTTACTGTAACTTTAGATCCTTACCTTTTTTGGGTTTATTGGGATTCTTATGTAAGGCAGCTACAAGTTTAATTTATAGCTACCCTCCTGAGTGCAGCCAAGTGGTCTCGATAATCCTGGTGCGGTGTGTGGTTGCAACCTCACAAGACGGTCGAGCTGAAAGAAACTCTATAAACCCACAAAACCCTCTAACTCTAAACCCCCCTAAATCCCCCTAAACCTTTATATACCCTAAACCCTTTAAACCCTAAACCCGCAACCCTAATCCCTAAACCCTAAACCCTAAACCCTAAACCCTAAACCCTCCCTTGAGCCGAAGGCCCGGAGGCTCCATCACCGTGGCGGAGCTCCGCGAAGAGATCGCCGAGGCCAGGAGCTGATTTTGGCATCTTTAGGGGGTTTAGGGTTTAGGGTTTAGGGTTTAAGGTTTAGGGTTCAGGGTTTTTGGGGTTCAGGGTTTCAGGGTCTAGAGCTTAGGGCGGTTAAGGTTGGTTTGGGGTTGAAGCCCTTTGTTGAGACTTTCCTTCTGGGCTTCTGGGGTGTTTGTTGTTGTGTTTCTGCCTCGCATTTGGGGACCCGGAACGCTACTCCCCTAAACCCAAGATGTGTTCCGCTTGGTTTGCATTCGTATTTGGCAGGCATCTGAGGTTTCGATTTCAGGGCTTCAGGGCATTAGAGCCTGGTGGCTTGAAGGCTTGAGGGAGGGTGTAAGGTTTCAGGGTGTCTGTCTAAACCCTAAACCCTAACCCCGAAACCCCCAAACCCTAAACCCGAAACCCTAAACCCTAAAGTCTACGACACGTTTTTAGTTCAGGGGTGTCCGGGTTTCTTTTGGCCTTCTCCGGTTGGCATGGGGCACCAGGGTCTTGGGAGTTTAGGCGCGCCACAAAGAATTCCAAGCCCCAAACCCTAAACCCCAAACTCTAAACCCTAAACCTACTACAGGCGTCGTTCTGAGTGGAGTGGTGTGAGCAGGCCTCTCACACTACTTCACTGACGCTGTGGGTTCTGTCACCCGAAATGGCAGACGCAGAAGCGCCGGCTGAACACGAAGGCGCCCTTGGCATGAAAGCTGAGGAAGAGGCGACGGAGGACCAGGCCCGTAGGCAGGCTTCCAGTGCGGCCGTGGCTACGCACTCGAAGCATTCCTCCGATTCCGCCCCTGGAGACCGGACCACGCCTAACCCCAAAGACCAGGAAGGGAAGGGCGTGCAAGCCACAGGATCCAGCGGTTTGCCCGAGCAGGTCGGGGCCGAAGACCTCAAGACGGCCTGGGAGGTGATGACCAAGCAAGGAGCACCCGTGGCGTCACCCTACTTGCGTGAAGTCGCAGGCATGATCAGAGAGGCGAAGTGGCCCTGTCCAGCCTGGAAACCAGCTGAAGTGTCAGGGCCTGTGGTGGAGGTACGGAACAGTGCTGCCACAGAGATGCCAGTCCTGTCTTCCGATCTGAGCAGACAACTGCTGCGGCGAGACCTGAGGCTGGGCCAGGTGCCAACTGAGGCACAGGTCAGCCTGTTGTGGGTCAACCTCACGGTTGGCGTCGGAGGAGCGGGAGTGGGAACGAACTTCCAGGCCCTGGCGGGAACTGCAAAGGCACTTTCCACTTTGGCGAGGGACCTTGAGCAGATTGGACAGCTGCTTCTTGTCCCGATTGAAGTCTTGGCCCTACGGGTCATTGCAGGAGTGGGTCTGCTGCCGTGGACTTCTGGCCCGAGTTCTTTCGTGGAACGCTTCCCAGCAGCGGACCTATGTTGGTGGAGAACTCCAAGGCCTCCCGGCCCCGGGCAGAACTTCCCAGAGGGAGTGCCACAACCAATCCCGCCCGGGCTTTTCAACGAGCTCCCCCCCGGCTCAACGGCACAGAGAGTGCTCCTGGCCTACATCATCCTGCTCTCCTTTGCTGGAGAGGTGCAGTTTGATTTTGTGGCGGAAAACCCCTTTCCAGGACGCACCAGGCAGTCCAAGTCGGTGGAGACTGGACCGCCCAGCCAATCGGCCCCTTCCCACCCGTCGGCGCCCCTCGCTGGCGTGACTGGCTCGTCGTGGCCTGCTTCCTCCAGAAGACAGGTTCGGTGCTTGGGCAGGGACCCTCTGAACACTTCGTTGCTGCGGAGCACTTCTTCACCAACCAGGGTGGCTGGAAGCTGAGCCCACTCAGAAGGGTCGCCGACGAGAGGGCCAGACCCAACCGGGTTCAGTGGCTCACTGTCTGTGCCACCTTGGCAGAAGAGTTGCGGGAAGAGGCTCGACGGACTGCAGAAATCCGTGCAGTCCTTGTCCTTGCCCAAGCAGCCCAGTGGTCAGAGGACAGGTGGTACCGGGACAACCAGTGGCATGCAGGGCCAGATCTGCCAGAGGACATCGCTGCCGACGCCTCACACTGGCTGGCTGTCCAACTGAACAATGCTCTAAATTTTTTACGAGCGTTTCATCGAGGGTTTGGAGAGCCAGGAAGCTGGCATGTGGCCATTGTGGGGTAGGGTCGAGAAGCAAATCTGGCTCCGCTACGTCCAGACCACCTCAGACACAACCCCAGGCAGATGCAGTACCTCAGCCACTGGTTGGAAGAGCGCACTGAGGGAGAGTTCGTGCTGGCCGACGCGGGGTGGCCTTCGATCAGGCCTACCCGTTCTTCGACCAGATTTTCGAGCTTAGAGACCCTGGTGGTGGCAGTCGATCACCTCAGCCTGGGACGAAGACGTGCCGCCCTGGGGAGACTCAGATTGGTTCCACCTGCATCCCCGTGCACAGAGGCTGCGGCGGGCCGGTTTCCTGCAGGATGCGAGCACTGCAAACAGGCTCAGAATCACCGGGGCCTGGGGCACGGAAACCAGCCTTGGGCCTCCTACGCAGACGGCCTGAGGACGACCGTCCCACTCGAACTCGCCCCACTCCACCCAGCAGTGGTGTGGGCAGCCAGTGTCGGCAACTTGAAGTTCGTGACCGGGGCTCACACAATCGCCCTGACGGTCGACGAGCAAGATGAGACGACTGTTGCAGCCTGGGCCCTTCTTGCTTCACAAGCAGACAGGACGCTCTCCCAGGGCTACCTAGGAGCGTGCTTCGCACGCATGGGGGGCATCTGTCCCATGTACTGGGGGGAGCAGGACTGCCACACTCTCAACGCCGTCGCGGCGTCCATGCCGGGCATGTTCAGGTGGATCCTGGAGATGCTGAAGGTGAGGATCGACAGCGAGAGGTCCCTACCCGTTCATCCCCGGGCGGGCGGAACTAGCCTGCTTTGCCCTCGTCGCTGTTGAGCGGCTCCCGGTCAGCTTCTGGTTGGCCTGGGTGCATCAGGTGAGAGGGAAGCTTCTCAAGTACGGGAACGAGAAGCCCCCCCCTCTGAGCTTGTTCCACCTTCACACCGGCCCACCTCACAGCCCCAGAACACCACCTACCCGAGAGGGAACGCCGGCAACGCGGGGGCACTCATCCATCCCTGGACCCCTTTGCCGGTGAACCCGAACCGGGACCCAGACCTGACACTTCGGCCACAGCAAGTGCCGAGCGATCGTGTGAGGGGAGGAGTCAAGGTGTCTGCGTTTGGCCAAGGGAACTCTGCCCAAGTGGCCTACGCACAGGCGACCAGTACACCAACGACGGCGTCCTCTCACTGCCAGTGCTTGCGGCTGGACTCGGGACCTCACGCTTCTACCGCTCAGCAATGAGGCCCCTCTACGACCCGACCGACTACTGCAACAACTTCGGCTGGAACTCCACCCTGGCCGTGGTTCCCAGAGTCGGGCTACTAGAGGATCTCTACGTCCAGGTGTTCGTCTTTGCCCCGGTCGGGGGCACGGCCCCCGAGCGGCTGACAGCAACTTTCGAGGCGTGCATCCCCGAACGCGCCACAGGAGGTACCGGACTTGCCAGGGCAGCGAACCAGGCTCTCAGCGACACGCTGGTGCAGCTGGTTGCCGCTGGCAGCACAGAGTGACTAGCTCTGCGAGAACAGGGGGGTCGAGTCCTAGAAAGGCAACGGGTGTTGCCCCTACTTATTTATTATGGTTATGACAGTACTTTTCTTCGATGTAGACCATAGGCTCCGTATACATGGCACTCCCACTAACTCATGGTCGGTAGGCAAGCCAGTATACGACCTGGAATACGCCGATGACACGCTTCTCATCTCGGTTACAAAGCCACAAATGAACGACATACTTAAGGCTATTGAAGTAGAAGCCACCCTGTACGGGATGCTGCTGAACAAAGAAAAAACAGTCTTACTGGAGTACAACGCCGACGCCCCCCAGGTCCTATATTTTGCAGATGGCTCCCCGGTCCCCGTAACCACTGACACCAATACAGGTTACGTGGGAAAAGGCCACTAAGCACGCCATAGAAGCTCGTAAAGTCAAGGCGCACCTCCTACATCAAGCTACAGCATTTCTGGAGGTCGCGAATGAATACTAAAACTAAAACTAGGTGGCGGCGCCCAGAAGAGGCCGTGTGAGTGAACACATTTTGTGTTTACATTTTTCGCGTCGGGGGCCAAAAACCCAAGCGAAACACTCATTTTCGTCATGACCGCAGCATTTGGAGGCCTCGAAAACACCGAAGGGTTAGGTCATTTTTTCGGAAAAATGCATTTTCGCTCGAAGCCTGATCGTTTTTTTGGTTGTGTTTTTTCCAGGGGGTCTTTTTTTTTGAAGTTTTGGATGTTTTTTTGCTCGAAATGGCGCTCTCGCCTAGGCGCGGGCGCGTTTTCCTCATACCCCATCTTGAACTTTCAAACAGCGATTTTCGGCTCGTCGTTTTTTTTGACGTTATGGCTGAGACAACTCAGGCTCGAAATAGTGCTCCCGCCACAGCGAAAATGCGATTTTTTGGAATTGTGCTTTGGGTGTAACTCGAGAAACATTCGTGGAAGTAGTTTCAAGTTGAATCCTCTTCAGGCTTCAGGCTTAAAAATTTCCGGTTCAGGTTTCAGATTTTGGGTCTGCACTGCTTGGACTGTTCTTTTGGGTTTAAGGGTGCTCTTTTTTGGGGTGGCAACAGCAGGGGTCATGGTTGAGGTTTGAAGGGTTCTGGTTCAGGTTTTAGGTTCTAGGTTATAGGGTTTCGGGTTCTGGGTTTAAGGTTTCAGGATTTGGGTCTGCATTGCTTGGATTGTTTTTTTGGGTTCAAGAGTGCTGTCTTTTGGGATAGCAACAGTAGGGGTTATGGTTGGGGTGTAAGGTTCCAGGGCTTAGGGGTGGGTTCATTGCCAGGGTTCTGGTTCAGGGTTCTGGTTCAGGTATCAGGTTTGTGGGTATAGGCTTTCGGGTTTCGAGTTCTGGGTTTCAGGTTTCAGGATTTGGGTCTGCGCTGCTTGGACTGTTCTTTTGGGTTTAAGGGTGCTCTGTTTTGGGCCAGCACTGTACGAGAAGGGTCTGGAGCTCTCAAAAGCCTCAAGACCTGAACCCAAGAGAGCCTAGAGACCGGAGACACATGGTTTAGGGTTTAGAGTTGAGGGTTTCGGTTGAGGGTTTTCAGAACGGATTAGAGGTGGGTTGAGGTCTCAGGGTTAAGAGTGAAGCTGAGGAAGCCGCAATTTCTCATGCTTGTCTGGCCAATCCCCCAAGCTCAGCCAGAAGCTTCGCCGCGCCGACGCTTTTGCGCCAGAGCGTTTGGAAAACGCATTCCAGCACAGCCGGCTCCCCTGAGCTGTGCTTGCGTGAGGACAAGTTTGGTGGGATGCAAGTTTTCAAGCACCCCCAAGACCGGTCGAGGAGCTGCGTCCCCAAAGTTTTGCCGCCGTTGGGAGAGCTCGCTGTGTACTGTGCTTTGCTGTGACAAACGTGGTGCGTGTCTCCGCGGTGGCCGGCTTGCCTTGCGGCTGCGCTCCAGCTCTTTGCACCATCGGCCATCAAAGTTGAGCCTTTCGACACGCTGCGCAAGAGACCAGAGTTGATGATCTCTTGGGTCCCCTCTGGTGGCTTCCCACCAGCCGGCGCAACTTTGTGTTCTAACAGTCTGACGACGAGTTTGCGATTGTCAGAGCGTTGCACGGCACCCACCAAACGAAAGTGTAGCAGCCAATACGCAGGCCTCGGAGTCCTGGGATGAGCAGCCAGCCATTTCTTGATGGGTGTCTCGAAAGTCTTTGACCCGGCATACACACGGACCAAGCGCAGGGAAGTCGCATCCACTTCCACAACTCCTTTGAGTCTCAAGCACTCGTTGCGTTCTCGGCCAGCTCTGGATTCAAGAGACACTAGACTGTCCAGAACCGCTTTGACCGGCTTATACGTCATGCCCGCAGCACGTGCTAACGTGTAGGCAGAAGGAGGACGGCCGAGACCGGTAGCCACCCAGGCGCGCAAGAGAAGAAGAAGCTTGTTGGGAGTCGTCTTGGAGCCAATTCTGTCCGTGCACGGCAACCAGTTTTGCAAAGTCAGGACGTTGATGCGCTGCCTGCAGTCACCGTCCGTGCAGCGCAGGAAGACCTTCAGGGGGTTTCAGGTTTGGGATATGTAGGGTGTAGGGTTGATGGTTAAGGGTCAGGGCGGAGGGTTTTAAGTGCAGGGTTTAAGGTCTAAGAAGACTCTCTACTTGGGCTACACAGGTCGCTGTAGAGCTGTCCTGCCTGTCCACGAGCAGTGGCTGAAAGCTGACCGAAAGTTCCTCTTCTGCAGGTCGGGCATCTGTGAGGGCAAGCCTTCAGAAAGCCTAGTTTCTGGAGTTCCTTGACAGCTGCTATCTCCAAAGCAGAGTTCGTAGGAAGCGCTTCAGTCTTGAGACGTCGATCTCGGTCTTTTTGTTTCCGAAGAGCAAGAGATTGGCGTCCGGCGTACTGCTTTGTGGCAAGCTTCCTGTGGTTGCGCTTGCAGGAGTTCTGCTGACCCCAGTGGTTAACTCCGAACTTCCTGGGACGTCTGCCTGCCTGCGGATGCGGAGCAGCTTTGCGTAGGCGACGGTTTTCCTCCTCCAACTCCAGCAGCCGCTTGCTGCCCGGGAAGAGGACATTTGCGGACATTGTGGCCTTTGGCACCACACAGGCTGCACACCATGGCACTTGGAGTGCAGCGCACGGCCTGCAAGGACTGTCGTCCTCACAGACGAGAAACCCCGACGCAGCCCAGAACTCTGAAAAGCCTGAACTGAACTCCACCAAACGCAGAACATTAACAAAAAGGTATTCGTTGAGAAGAAAAAGCGGCCACTTCCCCGTGGACACTGCTGGGCAGTCTTGAGAGTGGAATGTTTCGTTGAGCGAGCTTGCCGAGCTGATTCCCTTGAAAAAAGCCTCTAGACCCCTGAACCCTTTGAAGCAAGCGGAACACGATGTTTGAGCTAAGGTTTCCCAGTGGAGGGTTTGGGGTAGATGGTGTGGGCTTGCACTGCTCACAGTGTGGCTTTGGGCTTGAGGGTGCTCTCTTATGGGCTTGCACTGCATGGTTCAGGGGGGTTCAAGGTTTGTGCTTGCACTACTCACACTGTGGCTGTCGCTTTCAGGGTGCTTGCACTGTTTTGGGGAAAGGTGTCAGGTTTCAGGCTTTGGGGGGTGAAGTTATGGGCTTGCGTACTGTCTTCTGGGGCACTGCTCACAGTGGAGGAGAAACTCACAAACTTGAGGGGTTGCTACGAGTTCCCATTTTACGGCCAGAAAGCAGGCTCCGGCAGTGACCTAGCGTCGGCCCCTTTGAAAGGCCACTCGAATATCGGAAACATGCTGTCGTATGTGCAAGTGCGCTTCATGAATGCGAGAGTAGTCAAACGGTTCGTGGTGCCAGCAGGAGCGCTGCAGGTTGGGCTTCAACTTCCAAAACTGGTTGCAGAGGCTCCGCACCGTGTTTGCGTACCTGCGACCGGACATCGCACCAGTAAAATCAACGTACTTGTCTCAATTCCAAAACCCTACAGCACACAAGCCAAAGTGTTTACGACGAACTTCCTGCATACAAGGAACTGTCCCGACTGGAATATGTACGGAGTCATAGCGTGCTGGCATTTCGGGCAAGCGCCCCACTTGAAAGAGCGACGTGGAACATTCGACGGTGGAGCAAGCGAAGATTCTTCTCCATCTTCTTGCGCCGAAGATGGACAAGATGCGGCAGCCAAGCGACTGCGAGCGCCCGCACCTTCTTGCGCCGAAGAGGGAGAAGATGCGGCAGCCAAGCGACTGCGAGCACCCGACTCGAGGACCAGCGCAGTCCATGTCGAAGACGCTGGAGAGTCCTTTATCAGGGTTTAGGGTTCAGGGTTACAGGAATAGGATTGAGTTATTAGGGTCTGGTTTCTAAGGTTTACACCCACAGACCTGTGCGACCGCTTGGGCAGGTGCAGAACACTCAGGCAGCGAAGACTTGTGAGAGCTGCTGTCGAGGACCACACGTTGATTTCCACGCGGGGATGCCGTCTTGCAAGACTCCTGCGAGCCAGGCTGTTTCACGTTCCCTAAACCTTAAACCCTGGGGTGAATGAGTGACTTGAGCGGATGCGCTTTTTTCAAAAAGGTGAGGCGAAGCTTCAGACCACTCCTTCGGGATTGTGAACAGCTACCAGGTAGCAGGTAGAACGAAGTACTCAGAGCACTTCAGTTTGCGGAATGCTGGAAGCAGAAATGGTGGCTTGCGTGTGTAAAATACCACGCACAAGATAAAAGTAGTCTTCCAGCAAAGCCAGAAGCTCAAGCCAAAACTTACGCGGAGCAGCTGGTCTCAAAATCAGATTTCTCTCGGAGCGCATGGTTTCGATGCACTCGGCTAAGGCATCCGCGAGACTAGTCGCTGAAGCATGCCAGTCCATGCCGAAAGCGTGTTGCAGCTTCTGCTTGAAACTCAGAGGCATGCTCATGATGACCTGTGGTGGCAGGTCAACGGAGACCATGGCGGTCTCATCCACCACAACACCAAAATGTCCCAGGCGCGCAGTTTCCAACACGTGAATGGCCAAGAAGAAGAACTCGCCGTTGCTCTCATCGGAGGAGCCATGATCGAAGCGCAACACCTGGAACAACATAGCGCATGCCTTTGTGACCCGAACCCAAACGCCTTCCGCGCTGAGATCTGCTTGAATGCCGTCAAGAGCCGTTCGCACCGACATCGCCATGCCAACTACGTAAAAAGCAGAGACTTCGAAGGCCATGGATGCTCTTGTCTGAACAGACACTTACACTGCTCGGGCCTCAAATGAGACAGCAAACGCATGGCAGAGTCAACTTTTCAGAAAACCGATACCAAGAAAAGTTCTCACGCAAGAGTCCTCATCGGATGATATCTCGACCATGCCACGCAGATTCCAGGACTTCGCAGAAGACTGCGCAGCCGCTTGTCGTTGCGAGTCCCACCAACCTGAGTTCTCTGTTGACGCACACACCTGACACCATTATAACCCTATTAAGAAACCAAAAAAAACCGTGAAGTTCTCAAGCCAATATGAGGCACTCTTCATCCGAACTGTTTGTGGAGAATCTAGATGATGCAGTGGGCTGGGTGGCCCCATGTCGGACCACAAGACCATGGACCTGGGCGAAGCAGCCAAGGCTTCTGCTGGTGCTGGCACTCGTGGAGAACGTTTCGGAGGAGTGCGGCTTCTCGTGCGACTGACGTCGGCAACCTGCTTCTGGGGCCTGTCAAACTCCTGAAGAAAAGCTTGAAGCTTTTGTTGAAGATCTTGCACCGTGGGGCATGGGCCCCAGGAGTTTAAAACTCCATAACGACGATTCAGGAGAGGTATGAGCCGGTCTGCTAGTGCTCCTGCACGTGCGGATATTCGGGAGGACTGCAGAAATGAAAGTACAAGGGCAGCCAAGTCTGCTTTACGAGCGAGGAGGCGTGACCAGGGTAGGGAGCCACGCCGCGAATCTGACAGCATGCCGTAGAGAGCTGTCATTTCAGCACTACCATCCTCATGGGGCAAAAGCATGACGTGCAAGTGATCCAGGAGCTCCTGCACGGAGAAAGTCTGGAACCCCCCGAGGTCTGGAAACGGCATGCAGGCAGACTCTCGCAGCACCAGAACGAGGAGCAGAAGGAGCGAGAGCCATCGCAGCATGGCAGTAAAAGTGAGCAAGGAATGAGTGGAGCCAAAGGGCTTGGAGTGGAGCCGAAGAGCTTCTGCTGGTGTGCAGTCCCAAGTCACGTAATTATCCCCCACCCCCCCCCCCCACCCCATAAATTGCTGTTACTCGCACGGCCTCTTATGGGCGCCGTCTCCTAAAACTAGAATCTTCCATGCCACAGTCTTGCCTACCTTACTGTATGGATTGGATACGCTTACTCTGGAAATTAAACACCTAAAGACCATAGATGCCTGGTGTTACAGATATCTTCGTAGAGCAATAGGAGTCAAGGATTCTTACTATTCCCACATTTCCTACCATCCCAAATTTTGACCTCTGCCCAGTTAAAGCAACTGGCAAGTAGCTTGGCTACACCGCCCAACGACCCTGTGCACCACGTAGTATACTCTCCGGGTTGGAAGGATAGGATTAAATTCACCAAGTCTTCACATAGAGGGCACCCTCAAAGATATTGGCTGGAGCTCAATACGGAGTATGCATTACCGGTACTTAAAGAATACATGAGGCTAAACCGCATAGATACGGAGGAACATAGGCAAGACTTCTTAGGTCTCAAACACCTCCTTAATAAGGACCCCCGCTTCCTGTCTTTCCTGGAATCTGCGCCGACGAGCTGCCCCCACTTGTTCAAAAGACACGCCAGAGCTCTTGCATGCGCATGGCTGCCATAAAAAAAAAACCTACTACAGGTTCGAGCTCATCCCCATGAAACACATACACAACCCGGGTAGGGTCCGTTGCGACATTCTTTTCTAAAGGCTAATTGTCCACCTAGAAACTGCAATTTAGAGTACCGCAACTAGGGTTTAGGGTTTAGGGTTTAGGGTTTATTAGGGCTTAGGGTTTCGGGTTTAGGGTTTAGGGTTTAGGGCTACTAGCACCCAGAGTAGGCCCTTATTCCCTTGTTTTTGGGTTTAGCTTCCCTTACAGAAGGACACCCTTTCTATTCCTACTGAGTAGGTTACTCCTGATTCTAGGCACTCTAAAAAGTATAATTGATTAGGCCCCTGTATCACAGGAATTGGTGAGGTTTGGCCCTCTTGACGGAAGCCTCCTCTTGATTTCAACGCCCAAAGCCGTAAAACTGTCTAAACCCCTAGAACCTGACATTCGGAAATCCCGGGCTTCCCATCGACCCGAGATTTCTCAAGCAGTGCAGGGAAGTTTTGGGTGGGGGAGGGAGAACCCCTAAACCCTAAACCTTAAACCCTAAACACCTTTGTCAACCCTAGGATTCTCGGGGTCTTCCGAGGAGCGCGACCTGCCCCCCTCCGCATTGCGATTGGCTCAGGGCTTAGTTCAGGGTTTAGGGTTTAGGGTTTAGGGTTTAGGGATTTTAAGGATCCCAGGACCATGCTTGCCAAGATTGCACCCCAAACACGAACGCTCGCCAGCAGAGAGCGTTAAGCTCGAGATTTTGGTGATGTCTCATCTCCGTCGTTCATGTCTTAAAAGGATCTTCATGAGAGCCCCAAACAGTAAAAACTCAAGAACATAGTAGGAATAGAACGGGAGCAGCAGCACCCTGTTCCCATACTGTCCTCCTTTATATTCTTGGGGTTCCCAGTTTGGGGCTTCCCTTAAAATCCCTTACGGGCTTCGCCGCCCTAAACCCGAAAATCCTAATCCCTAAACCCTGAACCCTGAACCCTAAACCCTGAACCCTAAAGCTTGGTTTCAAAGAAGGTTGCCACACTCGAGCTCAACATGCACGGGAGGAACCCTTAGAAGGGACCCTTAATCTTATTCCCCTATGGAACCCCTGTATAGCCCCTATATATACCGCATATCATCCCCATATACCTAAGTAGCCCCTGAATAACCCCCAACTAACCCCTCACGTAGTCCCTTGGATACCATGGTTTGAAAGCCGAGGTGCTGCTGGAGTACCCAGGCCCCACGCGCAGAGTGTTGCAGGACCCTACAGGATTTAGGGTTTATAGAGTTTAGGG